GGACACGGACAATCTAAAATACTAACATGAAAAAAACTTAATCCTACAAGAACTTCCAGTTGACTTTTAGCAGCCCACTCTTAAACAAGCGAATGGCCAACAATCAATAAACATTTGAGAAAAGTCCAAGTCAGAAGTCAATAATAACATCAAAAACCAACTTGAAGAAAACAAACTATTCAGAAAAAAAAAAAAAAAACTAACACAAGCATAAGCATAATCATTAGTATTCGTGGGGGGAGGGGACGCTGCATTACTACAAAAACAATGGGATGCAAACATAATACCAAGTTTCTTGGGAATAAAATATATAACAGCAGGTTTCCATCTGTAAGAGCCATAAGAGCCAGCCCCTATGAATTTTTTCTGTTTTTAAAAGTCTACCATAAAAGAAAACGAAAAAGTACCCGGAAGCTGAGTTTATAACAAGTCTCATTTCTATTAGAAGGAAAAAAGCACCACTGCAAACAATCAAGGTAATTAAGACAACTTTTCTATCTCATCTTCATAATCAAGTATAACAAAATATTCAATGCCTAAGTAGACAACATTTCCAAAAAGAAACTGATGACCCTTTAAAATATGGTAGATCTTATCAAAGATAATATTTCAAAATATTTGCAACAGAACAAGAACCAAATACTTACCCGTAGTAGGATGTAAATTTAAAATTTGATTCTCTATATAGAACTGTGCCCAGCAGAGCAACTACATCTGCAGATATAGCACACGCGTTGCATAAGGCAGTATTTTGGTAGACAGCGCTGCAGGCTCAAAAGGGGCAGGGTTCATTTGCAGATCATAAGTTTCCTAAGTATTTTTGCCAGTCTAAAAGCCACTCCAAATCTTTATCACACTGTCGCCCAATGTTAAGAATCAAATATTAACGGAAAGGAAGAAAAGACTACCCAACCGAATTTCAATGAAAATATAATATTCACTTTTGAACTGGGTATGAGCCTACCATGGCATGGAGAAGCCAGAAGACAGAGTTGATATCTAAAGTGGCAATATCATCCTTCAAGTTCTCACATAAACCGACTCCTTTTAAGTATTAATTTTAAAAATCAATGGCTTTATCCCTTTTGTTGAGATATTAGAGACTCTCAGATAATGTGTAAAACTCTTGAAAACACCTTGATCTACAAGAGACATCACACCAACAATTTCAATGTCATACAGATAGAAACACCATAGCACCATTCTTAACCTTTTTTTTTTTAAAGAAAATTAGGAAAAAATAAGCCTCTAATTCTGCATATAAAAATTAGAGCATGAGCTACAAAACAAAATGATAGCTTACCCTGTTACCATGAACTTTCATCTCCTATAAATAAACATGTGCTGTACTCAAAATAAAACCACAAAATACAGTGAAGAATAGTTTAACTTGGCATTTGTTAGTAACGATAGGCTATAAATTCACACGCTTGCAAAAGTGGAGATAAACAACAATCAGCAAATTTGTAAGTCACCAGGAAGCTGAAGGTTTGGGAAAAAAGATAGCTATTTCTACTTTAAATTTCACCCTTCAATAGTGGTATGGAGCAGACTCAAGAACAAAAAATGAGAGCAACCAAGGATAATTTACTAAAATTCACCTTAAAAAGACCGAATCTGCCATCTTGCATCTCTGCACCTGGTGTAACTTCCATAGTACAGTCTTCGGCCTAAGTTAGATAACATATTCCCCATTAAGATACCACACAAATTTAATTGATAGGCCATATAAAGACAAACTAGCTGTAGCTAGTTTGTGACTTGAAACTAAGAACAAAAATAATCATTAATAAGAAACTCTGAAAAGGAAGAGAAACAGGGAAGAGAATGAAAATTTTAAACTATCCATGTAGCATTTAACCACCTTCATAGGGAAAATGTGACTTATTTGGGGAGTAAAAGTGGGACAGTAAAAAAGGTAGGCATATTCTGGAATATTTACTAATTACCGTAATTTTATTTGTAGTAGAAGTAACTGGTATAACTTCAAGTCCCATTCGTATCCTCTTTTGTTTTTCACAGTAAGCTTTCCAAGTATCTTCATTGAACCCATAATTAAAATAATCAGAAAGATCAGCACCTAAAGACAAAAAATATTTTTAGTGTGCAAATATTTAAATGCTATTACAGCAGCAAAAATACAATGACCTGGGCTGGGATTCTAGCTCAGTGGTAGAGCATATGCTTTGCATGTGTGAGGCAAGGGGTTTGATCCTCAGCATCACATCAAAATAAATAAAGGTATTATGGCCATCTACAACTAAAAATATTTTTTAAAAAAATATAATGAAGTACTGAAACATAAATTTTAGCATTCTAGCAGTCTTACTACCCCTTCTAATTCTACTAGTTCTCAAAATTACCACCATAAAACAAAAAGACTACAAAACATTTTGATCAAAATTATTTGGCATTATAATAAACATGCATGTCAACATTTATAGTTATGCTAGACCGAAGGCAGATTTAATAATACAAGTCTTTATTACTCATCATTTGCTTAACACAATAAAAATAACCTTGAAAAAACAATAACCTAAGTTGACGCTCAAAAATACTGATAACATCAAACGATACATTTTTTTTTAAAATCAACATAATACACAATAATCTCACCAGGTTTACGCCACGGTTTATCTTCAAAGGAATCCAAATCTACCTCCAAGAGTGGAACTCCATTAATGCTTCCAGGTGCATCAAGATCTACTCCTTTGACCTTTGTTCCTATTTTACAGAAATATAAAATGGTAAAGGAGCTACATTAGCAAAAAGATGGGAGATACCATAGACCAACAGAAAACACTTGCACCTTTTTATACTCCTGGCACAAAAAAATGGCAGAAGTTCCAAACAAACATTAGAATAATGTTCACCATAAAAAAAAAAAAAATTAGATAACCTCAAGCTTTATGATGTAACTATAAGATTCACTGAATGAAAAGCTTAGGGACTTATTACTTATAAAGAATTACTATACTAATAGGAAGTAACATAACATAAATTTCCATTTTGAAATCACTGTTTTGAATAGCCTGGGAGTAAAGAAAAGTTTTACTTTTGCTAAAAGTTGTAAAATAAATCAAAGAAAAAATAAATGACAACTATATAGTCAGGACAGCCTAAAACGTTTGCCATTTGGTCCTTTACAGAAAAAGTCTGCAAATGTGACTTACTTTCCTACTGATACAACTGCAAATATAAATTTTACCTGTAGTTCCATAAACTCTTCCCCCTGTCTTGATATTAAGATTTACAGGTGCTGTACCATAACTCCTAAAACACAAAATAAAAATTATACTGAGAAACAAAGTACACACACCAATATTTAATGTGTTATGTAACAACATAAGCTGACAGACTCAAAACATTTTAGAAAACACTTTATAATAATTTAAATAAATCTGTCACTTGCTTAAGAAAAGATACAGAAAAAGTTTTCATACATATCTGATTTGTTTCCATCTCAAAAATTTCCCTGCCACTAAGTCGATATCCTATTGTTACAAACTTTACCAGAAATTTGACTGGGAAGCAAAGAATAGTTTATATGCCTTTGTTTAATTCTCTTGTCTCCTAGTTTTATTTAACATATAGCAATTCTGATAGAGTGAAATTTCTCCATCTTGTTCCTAAAGCCAGTGGTCATAAGATAAATGAAAATAATAAAAAATTTAGTGCTTTCCACATTTTGTACTGTTGATAAAAACCTCTTTCAAATGCCACATATTTTGTCATAAAAATGAGTGCATTTATATGGAATTTTAAAATGAGTATGCCCCAGTATTTTGGCACATGCCTATAATCCCTGAGTCTCAGAAGGCTGAGGCAGGAGGATTTTAGGTTTCAAGCCAACCACAGCAACTTAGCAAGGCAGTTAGGCAACCTAGTGAGACCTTGTCTCAAAAAATAAAAAGGGCTGGGGATGTGGCTCAGTGGTTAAGCACACTTGAATTCATTCCCTGGTAGTATTAAAAAAAAAAAAAAAAGACTGGGGTAAAAGCAGATCAGGGTCTGCTGGTAGTGGTATGGTTAACGATCAAGAAGGAAAAAGGGGAAAATTTCTGGGATGCTTCTAACATTCCATATGTTGATCTGGGTTGAGGTTACATGAATGTATACATTTCAAAAAATTATTGAACAGCACCTTTTGAAATGTAGTCACACATGTGATATAAAAAGTCAGATTAACCCATATTCAAATACAAGTTCTGTCAACTACTAGTTGTATAACTTTGGCCCAGTCTCTCAGACCCTATAAACCATGTATAAAATTTATGTAAGGTAAGTTTACAATTTCTTCCTTTTCTATATAAAGCATGAAATGTATATAAGCAGAAATATCAAATATACCAACTAAAACAGACTTACATATAGTTGAGGTGGTTAAGGAAAAGGGAATAGAAGAGACTGTAAAGACTCATATTGAACAAAGATATCAGGAAGACTTCTTATATAGATAATATCTTAAATGATACATTTTTTCACATTATATTCAACGTTTATTTGATGCTCTTTCCCTCACAGGCTCAACCAAGTCGACTTGTGATGATTCATTTCTTTTGATTTGCCTAATAATTATCTGCATCTTTGTCTCCAATTTACTAAATTTATGGAACTTGTGTTAAGTTACCTTAGCAGTTTTATTTTTGGTTTTTATTTTTTAAAAAAGTCCAAATGCAATAAAATATACAAATAATTGTAGCTCCATTGGTATAAATGCAAAAAAGCATAAAGTAGCCCAAATTAAACCATTACTCTCAAGCAATATTATCATTTACAATTAGCAATGTTTAATCTTCTTTGACTGATCAATTCATTTAATAAATGTTTACTGAGCATAAAAATAAGCCCAATTGATTTTAGGTTAAGGAGGGAGAATGAGGAGCCAGATAAATGTGGTTTCAGTTTTCATGATGCTTACATTTCAACAATCTAAGTTCAGCACAGTAAAGGTAGCTTAGAAATATAATCATTTATATACAGTATGATGTATAAAATTTCTAGTCAAAGACTAATGCACAAATATCAAGGATTGTCTTTAAACTGTCCTCTAACAGGTTTGCTACAGGAAAAACATTTATAAGAGGCTTACCCATAAGTGTTCAATAAATGAACTTCTTTGTTTCCTACGTTCTACCTCTTAAAACATCACTTTTCTTTATTAAGCCACCAAGACTTTAAATCATTATGTGCAAAGGAGCTTAGCTGTAGGGAAAATTGCCCTTAAGCAAATCTACACATGTTCCTACTTTCACAAATCTCAGGCTACACCAACTGCTGGCTCCACTGGGCTTGCATTTTCTCAAGAATCTTCAAAGTTAATGTCATATAAGTGTGATCCTTCCATATGTACTTAATTAACAACTCTAAAAACCTTTAAGTTACTGAGTTGTTGGTCTCTAATTTATCCACAACCAACCACTAAATCATGGTAATTCTCTTTATCACACTCAAATATACTTTGCTTTCCTATTCATCTCCATACTGTTGCTGCTGGCTTATCAACTCACCTGCACAAGTACATTAGCCAAATTCTTATCAAATCCATCCCAACTACTGCTACTCAGATTTATCTTTTCACATTTTCTGCCTGCCTAAAAACCTTTACAGGCTTCACAGGGGCAGGGCAAAACTATCCTAATTCCTTCCAAAGGACATTTCAACCATCCCTTTCCTCAACCTTAGCTTCCAATCATGTAGTTCCGCTAAGTCTACTTTGTTTATTTTATTAGCAGTGCCCTCTTTCTAAAACTTATCAAGAATCACTCAAGTAAGTTCAATTGTTACCTCTAGGATCATCTCTTCAAGACCTGTGGCTTTCAGCAACTCTCCTCTCAAAGCTTTCAAATCACTATTATGTGCTTATTTCAGCATTATGTTGCACTGAAAATATCTGCTTACTTATCTGTCTTCCTACCTACTTCTAGAAAATTTTTAAAAACCTATTAAATTTGTATTTCCATCACCAGTTAATAAATTTAGAAATCAAAAATTGTTGTTTCCTTGTAACTATACCTAAATAGGCAACCTTATCTTTAGGAAAAAAAAATTTTTCATGGTGAATCTTCAACAAGAGTTTTGTTTTTTTTTTTTTGTATCATGACTAAGATAGAAAATGTAAAAACACTGATGGTTTAATGTTGGCACACTCTATATTACTTTACATAATGCCAAATTATGTCCAAAAAGTTTATTGAATAAATGAACAGATGATTCAGACATAGCTAATAAACTATTTTCCCTTTCAAGATAAAGTATTCTAGTTTTAAGATTTATTTTAAACTTTATTTATATGTAGAATGAACTTGTAACAAAAACATGTTACCTTAAAAAATGCTTTTTTTACTTTCTACTTTGCTTTATTTCAGTATCTAGAGATATTTCCCTTGAAAACTGAAAGAAAGCCAGTAAGAAAATAAAACTTTGTGCACTGAATTCTTAGAAGCAAATTTAAAAGGCAATTTGTGTTTAAGGGACAATACTAAACTGGTTTAAGTTTCATCTTATAATATTATATTTCCAGATACTAAAGTTAAGCAAACTGCACTCTTCATAAAGGTCTGTAACTTACTTTTGAAATGCATTAAAATAAGTGAACTAACAAATAGATAAAGGTAAGGACAGAAACATGTATGACTTAATGTAAACATTGCAAAGTGTACATTGTACAATCTGGGTGATGGGTAAATGTTCAAAGGTCAATTCCTTCCTTCAGGTTTTTGAATATTTGAAAATTTTCATCATCAAATGTTGCAGGGGGGAAAAAATCTAGAGACAGTGTCAATTTATTCACAAACATCTACTGAATACTTACTATATATATAAGGCAATGTGAGAAAAAGGAAAATCCATAGAACATAATTTCTACTCTAAATAGGTTGATTGTCTAAAAGTGATGAACATATACAAGCATAACTATTAATTTCATGAAACTAAGAAGTACTATGAGAAATAAAGTTCTGATAAAGTACTATGAAAATACATGTACATTTAATATTTGCATGCAATTCCTACTAAAAAACAAAACTGATCACATTCATAATATTTTTTAAAAATGCTACTCAGATTTATCTTACAAAAACAAAACAAAAACTGCTACTCAGATTTAACTTACAAATACAAATAAGTCAATACAACAAAATCTACTAAACATACAATGATCATCATAATGCAGATAGTAAAAACCTACTGGAACAAAGACCTACTAGTACTGTATTACAGTCCACCGGTAATTATTTACTTTTTCAAGTGGGAATGAGTTTCCAGCATTAATATAAGCAGTTGAGTCTCTTCTCTACTCTGTTTCCTAAAATGTTGCTAAGATTTTTAAACCAAATAGGTAGCTATTATCATAATGCAAAGCTGTCTATGACAATTACTGAATTTCAACATTCAAGTTTCCTGAAATTAAAGATTTTGTAAAAAATGGCTCTACTGAAGAAGTATTAAAAAGTATATGGATAGATATAGATTCCAGATAAGGCTCCTTAATAAACTAAAGTAAAATTAATGTGGTTATTTTATGTGTCCAACGTACAAGCTTTAGTAATCATATTATGTAGACAATCTGAAAAACAAACAATACTGACTCTTAATTCTACCAGCATAACTAAAAATCTCAATCTATACTTTAGAGCATTCTCTTTCAATCCTTTCATATTCCTTATGTGCTCAATGAGTCAGGAACAGTCATTTACTTGGTCCAGTTTGTGAAATATAATGGATAATTAATTTGAAAAATAATTACAAAAAACAAAAAGAAATACATTTGATTTTTTTATGTATATATGACAGCAGAATGCATTATAATTCTTATTACACATTTAGAGCACAATTTTTCATATCTCTGGTTGTATACACAATATATTCACACCAACTCGTGTTTTCATACCTGTACTTTGGGTAATAATGATCATCATGTTCCACCATCATTAATAACCTCATGACCCCTCCCTTCCCCTCCAACCTCTCTGCCCTATCTAGAGTTCGTCTATTCCTCTCATGCTCCAGCTCCCTATCCCACTATGTATCAGCCTCCTTACATCAAAGAAAACATTCAACATTTGGTTTTTTGGGATTGGCTAACTTCACTTAGCATTATCTTCTCCAACTCCATCCATTTACCTGCAAATGCCATGATTTCTCATACACTGCTGGTGGGACTGCAAAAATTAGTGCAGCTAATATGGAAAGCAGTATGGAGATTTCTTGAAAAATTGGTAATGGAACCACTATTTGACCCAGCTATCCCTCTCCTTGGTCTATACCCAAAGGACTTAAAAACAGCATACAGGGAGGGACACAGCCACATCAATGTTTAAGCAGCACAATTCAAATAGCTACACTGTGGAACTAACCTAGATGCCCTTCAATAGATGAATGGATAAAAAAATGTGGCATATATACACAATGAAATATTACTCAGCAATAAAAGAATAAAATCATTCGATACAGTTTTTACTAGACAAAAAAATTAAACAATCTAAATTAAGATTTGGATAAGTAATAATATGAAAGAATTAATGGCAAATTACAATTCAAAATTTTCCAATTATAGCCAACAAATTCACAGCATTCGAATTCTTTTATGAAAATACTTTAAATGCCATAAATCAAAACTACTGCTTCCATGTAACTAATTAACTTAATCTTTAGGAAAGAAATATCTTCACAGTAAAATTGTAACAAGAGTTCCTTCATATCACATTAAAATAGAAAATGTAAAACAGTGAAATCAACATTGACAACTTGATATAATCACATATATCTTTGCTATACAGCTTTCACATAAATATTACCTAATTAAAAATAACTTACCCATACTGTGGTGCTCCTGTTTTAATATCTCCTATAGTGACATGAACATCATCCTCGTCATCATCACTGTCACTATCACTATCATCTTCTGTCTCAGTCACTTTCTATAACCAACATAAACATTTTTTAAAATACATTCAATAGTCTACAACAAATTTTTTTTATTTTACTATTTTTACTTGGTCTGTTTTAATAACTACAAATAAAACCATCCTGTTTGAGATATAGTTTTAGAGAAAAAAGTTACAAGCTTATAAAGCTGATATCTGTATTTCAACTCAGTTATAACTTTGGTGTTCTGTACAATAAGTCTTTTTTTCAGCATCACCTTCTCTTGGCAAATAACTCATTTTTGTTTTACTATTTATGACTGCCCTTCTTATAAAAAGAATCTAAGGCAAAATAAGAGATCCACAAAATTATTTTTTTAAATATATTTTTTTTAAAAAAAATAATTTTTAGTTGTAGTTGGACACAATACCTTTATTTTATTCATTTATTTTTATGTGGTGCTGAGGATCAAACCCACGGCCTCACATGTGCTAGGTGAGCACTCTACCACTGAGCCACAACCCCAGCCCCTTAAAAAGTATTCTTAACAAAAATATGGATAAAAGGAAAATAATTTTAAGATTCAGTGTCAAGCTTAAAAACTACCAAATAGTACAGGAGCAGCTGGATTACTCTTGGCATTCATTTATACCTAAAACGGCTCTTGCCTAAAGATGCTTGAGGGAACCTCTTATTCCGCTGAGTTAAAGTAGGTCCACTTATAAAGGTTTTACTATGGCTCTAAAATAGACTATTAAGTCCACAGTTACATAACAGTAAATAAGTATATCACCCAAGCAAAATATTAATATAATGTACAAATATTCTTAAGACCTTCCAAAATACCAATTTGATAGGCATGAAGTCAGGGACCATCACATCTATGGAGAAGAAAAAAAAAAGGCACTGCTAAAAACTCACAATAGTTAAACTTCGGTGGTAAGATTCAATGTTTGCTTTGAAAATCAAACTATGTGGCTCAGTGGTAAAGTGCATGGCTAGCATGTGTGCAGCCCTGAGTTCAATCCTCAGCACTGCCAAAATGTAATTGAGAGGAAAAAAAAAAATCAAATTATGATCCATTCAGGTAATCTATTATTCAGTTCTTTGAAAGCAATAACCATCAAGCCTTTTGCATGTTATTATTTCCTCTGAAGTCTCTTCCCACTATTTATTCTCTTCATTAACTCCTATATATACTTTTGATGGTACCAGAAGAAGTAACAAATGCAAGGAGAGGCCAAATCACACAAGATACTGCACATCATGTTAAATGCTGGCTTTATTTTCAAGTCAATTGTGAAGTTACTGACAAAAATTGTAAACAGGAAAGTAAATGGATCTCAAAGCCTTATAATTATGTTACCGGTTTTGGTACGCCATTTTCAGCAGTTTCATCTTCTATTCCTGATGGAGGATTAGCGCTACAGATAAAATAAGTACATGTCAAATACTGCTTTTCAAGTACAGAGAGATTATACTAACATACACACAGATTATACTAATATTTTACACAATTCTAAATTAATGTCTCTGATGGATAATAAAAATAAGGATCATAAAATCTGTCTTATTCTGGGTTATTCTTAATATCTTGCATAAAACAGTACTCAGCAATTAAAGAGCTAGGTGTGTAGCTTAAAGTTTGTCTAGCAATCATAAAGCCCTGGGATCCCTCATCACAACCACCAATAAGAAAAACAGAAGTAGGAAACGGAAATGCCTCGATAATTTGTTAATAAATTACAATTTGATGACGAAATATAATTTTTAGATTTTAAAAATATGCAGCATACTTAACTTTCCTTATCATAAATCTTTATAGTACATTTCATGTGCAAGGTAATATCATAACTGCCAAGAGCTGTGTAATAATTTCTCCTTTTCCTTCCTGCCCATGAAATTCAGATTTGTGATACCTCTTAGTATCTAGTTAACATAACATACTTCTGCCTGGTTTCCTGTTTCATCAGTATTATTGGATATATCCTTTGTTATATAAAAGCCAAAATTCTAATATTAAAAAAAATAATCTTCATGCAAGAGAGTCCTCCAATGTAATATTATTAACAGTCCCATGCCTAGTCTTTTTTTATTTTATTTTTTTTGTAGTTAGACACAATATCTTTATTTTTATGTAGTGCTGAAGATCAAACCCAGTGCCTCGCACATGCTAGGCCAGCACTCTACCGCTGAGCCCCAGCCCCAGCCCCTAGGACTAGTCTTTTATATGGACAGTTAATACTTGAATTTGTCCTTTCACAACAAAAACTATATACAATGTAACAATAAAACACACTGTTAAGAGACTCAAGATCCATTAACCAACAAATAACACTTTCAATACTCTAGGGTAATTGAATAATTATGATTTCAACAGTGGAAACTAGCCACCACTTCACTTCATAGATAAGAAAACTAAAGCACAAAGCAGTGAAATGGTCTAAATTCCAGAAAAAATTAGTAGCATTTCTAAGACATTTTCCATTATAATTCATTAGTATATCCACTTCCTGCTTAAATAAATTTCTAAACAGACTTAAGTGTTAGCTGTTTTTTTCTGGTGTATATAAGTGTGTGCATGCATGTACAGGAGAGAGAACACTCATTTGCTTTTTGTGTCACAAAACAGGATACTATATTCAGTCAAAACTTGGACAGATAAAACCTAACAACAGAACCAGAAACAGGGCTGGGGATGTGGCTCAAGCGGTAGCGCGCTCGCCTGGCATGCGTGCGGCCCAGGTTCGATCCTCAGCACCACATACAAAGATGTTGTGTCC